CCTGCTGAGTCCTGGTGTTGAGAACTGAAAGGGCAATCTACAAATTGGAGGAAGCAGTTATTTCATTGTGTCTTGAATCTGTGATGTGTTGGGTTATAGTAATAAAACCTCCTTTTTGCAGCTGACATTGCAGCCTGAGAAGTAGCGAACAGCTGTTAGCATAACAGAGCTGCTGCTGACCACTTCTCAGAATCCCCCACCGAGACCCCAAGTCATGGGAGAGATTTTAACGTCTTAATTTTAGCAGAAGTTTATGGTTCTGTTACCAGGATAAGCTGTAGAAACAGTTATTTAACTTGAATTTTTCTGGATCCCTGTTGGGTTTTGTGGATTTGAGTTTGTTTGAGTAGGTTAACATGCAGCTGTGAGAGTTTATGGAGAGAAACCGGCTGTATAGGGTAGCACAGCAATATTTGATTTGCTTTGCACAAATAAGGATATGAATAGATTTGGTAAACCTCATCAGTTACCAAAGTGTTTCATTTCAACAACTGTGTTGCTGCTGTTTATCTTTGCTAATAATTTGGGTAACTCTACCTTAGACTAACAATTCACTGTTGTTTACATAACAAGCTTGTATTTGATTGCATCTCTGATAACTAGTTACTTTTTATTATAAACATTTCTGCTTAGACGAGCTGATGTGGTTTAAGCTGCTTTGGATGGTTCTTGTGGCCTTGGACACTTAAAGGGAGCATCATTAGACTGTACACCTCATTAATTTCTTTTTTGTTGCTGTTAAGAAGAACTTTCAGTAACTTTTTTAAAAATGTAGTGTCTAAAATTTTGCTGCTTTTATCTGCAACGTAAAAAGTATAAACTTCCTTCTGCACTGAGGGATTCTAGGACACGTCTGTGGGAGAGAAGCTCATTTTCATCAGGAGGTAGTCTGTGGTTAGGAGGAAGTATTCAGCTGTTGTAGGTAACCAGTTCCAATATTTGTGAAATTCAGAAGCCTGCTGAACATTGTAACTAGTCTTTATTGACTACATTAGTAGACACATATATGACACATTTCTTACTGTAGAAGAGTATTACTATCCTTTCCTTAATTTTCAGATGTTATTTTACTATTAACCATTACTTTGCTTGCAGCCGCACTGGGAAGGTGTTGGGAATAATACTGAGATCCTGAGTTTAGAACAGGTGGAAGCGTAGACCCCCCCTCCCCACCCCCATATAAGATATAAGTTTATTGTGAGGAAGATTTCAGTTATTTGCTGTGTTTTTATAAAACCAAACTTAGTGATATTCTTGGGGGTAAAGCTTTGAGTGATTATTTATGATGGATGACACTGAAATGCAAACTTGTCTGTAATGTAGTATTAAAAGACAGCAGCGTTGAGGCAGGTAGGGGACTTTTAATCGAAGCCCCCTTGATGTGGTAGTTTGCCATACAGCCGGCAGGCTGTACAGACTGTCACCTGCTTTCTGGAAGCTCATAAACAGGGAGGAGGCTGCGGGCTGGGCGGTTTGTTGATGGACTGCAGCTCCTGGCTTGCTCCTTGCTACGTGACTGCGTACCCAGGGCTGGACCGTACCCAGGGCTGGACCGGCTTGGTGACTGAGGGCTGCTGCGCCTTTGGTGGTAGGAGGCTGTGCCATGTGGCGTCTGTGTTTTGATCATCTGTCACATAGTTCCCTAGGCCAATAGGAAGCCTTGCCAATGAAGAGAAAAAGGCAGGAAAAAACATTCTGGGTTTTTTTTTCTATGTTTTCCATGGCTCTCAGATTACATGAGTACTTATAGACAGTGTTGTTTACCAGACTTCACTGCTAATGGTAATGATAATGCAAATATTGAATAACTCACTGTTTACATTGTACTGCTTACCAGTACAATGTAAATGCAGTTGCAACATTTGTTTCCCCTCAGTTTTATACTTAATCTGACCTCACATTTCTGTCAATGACACAGTATTTGCAATGTGGGTTAAGCTACCTTGTGTTAAGATGATGCCCTCAAGCTCCTTCGCTAAAGCAAGAAAATGTATAAATTGGTGTCAGTGTATTTTTCTGTAATTTTTGCATGGGATGAAATACAAGTTGCTTTTTGTTGGTTTTTTTAAACTAATAAAGGTTTTTGTGGCATTTTATCTGGACAGGAGGGGAAAGCAGACAGATGCTTGTGAGTGCCTCATGGCTGCAGCTGCCTCAGTTCATTCATTTATTGCCTATTGTAACTTGGAAGCATTCTTTAGGTAAGAAAGCCACTTCAAAATATGTTGTCTGGTTTATAAACTTAATATACTTCCGTGTTGAATCTTTAAATTGTTTTGTGCTCTCAATTATAATGTTATTTATGTGTTCTGTTTACCTGTGTCATTATAAACCTATCTTTTATGTGTTAGAAACTGACAGCACTTTTGCAAATGAATTTTTTGTGCCATGCACAGTTAGCAAAGGGACAGCCTGCTCATGTGACAGAAGAACATGTAATACTTGTTGACTGTGCAATACAAGGCCACCATAAATTACAAACTTCTTCAGGTGCCATCTACAAACGGAGTTACTAACTTTCTAATTACAGGCAAGCAGACCTATGCAGCTTGTAAATTTTCTGATGTGTGAGCTGAGCAGCTACATTACTTGCACAGATTTCAGTGCTTGAGTTTGGTTTGGCTCAGGACGTAGGGGCAGCTTCTCTTCTGTTTGTAATTAACACATTACTACACCTGTGTTCAACTTTACAACTATAAAGATGATATTAACTGGGTAGTTTTTCAAAAGATGATGATATCACCTAGGAGAATCTAAAGCCTTGTGTCTCCCATCTTTTAAAGAAAAATAAAAAAGTTTGGTGTTAGAAGGTTTCTAAAGATGTTACTCCTGGTTGAACACAGTACTTTGTAAACACCTTCAGTTTTTAAATCTACTTTTTCATTTCAGACCTGTCATGATTTAGTAAGATGTGTGTTGCTGTTCCTCTAGCTTTCCATTAAACAAACCATTGTCAAATAATGTAAAATGGGTAACTGAGTTTGGAGGTTTTGGATATACATTCTTATAGCAGACCAAGATACCCTTTCATACTAAGATATAGGGTAGCTTTTTTGTATTCATATATGGGAGCATATTCCTACGTTGTCAGTACCAGTACAGTATTTGCAGATAGAGTTTATTGAGTCAAAGTAGTTTGTTTACTGTCAAGATTATCACGAAGGAGTAACCATACTTTTGCAGTAAAAGTGAGTAATGTTTAAAGCCAAGAGTCCTTAAATTTTAAAATACTAGAGGTCATATCTTTAGTGTATAACTATTTTGATTCATGTGTTTTTGGTATACATTAAGCTGAAAAAATTTAATGGTTTTTATCCAGGTTTGTAATTTGTTTCAGTAACATTCAAGAATCCAGAGGTGTATCTGTGTTGCATAAGAGTACTGATGTGACTAAAATTGTAGATAACGGAAAAACTAGATTTGTGCCAACAATTACACTTTTCCATTAGTTAAACGATAGTTTTCAGATAACTTTTGGTAAAACGAATTTACTTGACACATTCTGTCGTTCTCCTTCCACATCTGCCCTGCAGTTCGGAGTGTGCTATTCATCTCAGTCTTTGTTCCAAAACTGAGTTTAGTTCCTCTAGTGGGTCTCCTAGACATTGCAGTCTTGCAAGAAAAAAAAAAACTTGCAAAGTTTTTCTTTGGTTGGTGGCTTCACAGATCAGTTCATCTTCTGGGACCAGTCCCTGCCTTCTGGTTAAGGAATCCATGCACACATACAGGATGACTCAACAGTGGGATGGATGTTCAGATACCAAAAAGGTGCTGGTAACTTGACAGGAACTTCCACATTCTTTGGAGGTATGTGTTCATGTAAACCTCGCATTGAATACTACCTGGATTATATCACATGGAACTATAATTTAGTTAACTTAAGCTGTGTTTTAAAATATGTGCTCTTCATAGTTTAAGTATTCAGAACAAAATAAGCATTGACATTTTCACAGTAAATATTAGGACTTCATGTTTGGTAAAAACTTCGTGATATATAACCAATGGAACCTTTTTCTGGCTTTGCATTCCACAGTGAGTAATATAATGTAATTTTGCTAGGTTTCAAGTACTGTAATATAGAATACTAAAAATAGAAATTCTACAGTTACCGGTTTTAAAGGTATGTAACAACAAGTTATGGCCACATTCCATCAGTGAGAGCGTAGACGCTATGTACGCCATGCATACGTTGTTGCATCTCTTCGTACGTCTGGACTGGATATGCTGCATCTGGTCTATAGCCTGGCCTGTGGTTTAGGGGAATGGTGTCCTTTCTGGTAGTTCTCAGATGCCAAAACTTCTTTGTGGGAGCCAAAACAGCACCTATGAAGCTCAAATAAGTTTCAAATAAGAAAGTGAAAATTTCCATTTTTTCCAGAAACTTACATTTTACTGTGATGTTGCAGATTTGCATGAGAATAGCAAAAGCATGGAGAAGCTTCTCAGACAACAGCATTTGCTTAATTTCGTTTTTTGTTCTGGACTTTAGTTTTAGGAAACAGTGAAATTTGTAATTCCTCTCAAGTAGGGAGGAGGAAAAAAAAAAAAGCAAGTATTTGACTCAAGCTAAACTTAGCAAGACTATGAGCAACTGGAAGAGAGAGTTATGTAATGGTTAATTGCTACGTCCACACATAATGCTTTGGAATGCCCATTCATTGTGTGACTTAAAGCACTCAAAAGTCATAAAACATGGTCATGGAGATGATAATTTGATAAAATGGTCTAGTAGCAAAATATTTATTCATGCTGAGCTTGCATCCTCATTGCATTAGTAACACTGATGTATTGTTTAGAAATACTGCTTTGTTCTGGAGCGTATTCTTCATTCTCTTTGACTTGCTGCCTTTGCTTGTTACTGCAAGGCAAGTGTCTATTCAGGGAAGAAAAACTTCTGTTATTAAATATAATGTGAAGAGTGTTACTAGCTTATCCTTCTGCATGTATCACCTATCACTATCATAAATGGAACTTTAAAGAGATTAAGTGAAGATTTCTGAAGACTGCTAGAATAAATTCCTTGGTAGTTGAGATGATTTGTCAGGAGGACGAACAGTGGTGAAGCTGGTCATAGGAACAGCTCTTGATTAATTGGCTAGGTTGTTCTTTCCCACTTCTCAAAGAATGCACATACTTTCTTCTCATAAAAATGGAGTTACATTTGTGTGTCAGACACCTCGTCAGCTATCCACATCAGGTTTTGTAAGTTGGAAAATGCCAGATAAGTTTTTGATAGGATAGTCTGTGTTTTGGCAACTGTTTTGGGATTTTGTTCCTCCTCTCTGCCCCCCCTGACGATGAGGGTGGAAAGCAGAAAAAGCATGCAGTGAGGGTTGCTGTGGAAGGTTGTTCAGTAAAAGCAGGTAAAGTGTTCTGTTCTTGAAGAATGCATGGTTGCTTTGAAAATTGCAGCTTCAGACTGGTTGTGAAGAGCTAAGGTCTGGCTGAACGTCTGATTAATAGGATATTTGAGAAGGGGCCTCATCCCACTGTAAAATGAAGTGGCACTTGAAACAGTTAAGACAGTTGTTGAGAACTGACTGAATAACAGAATTCAGTCTAGAACAGACTTGAGTAGGTTGTACTGCTTCAGTGTGTGAAAGCGGAGCTCTTTCTTATGCTGCTCTTTCCTGAACTCTTGCTCATGTGGCAAACGTTCCTCGGTGAAGTGGATTCATGCAGTTTGCTGTGTTCTGAGGTCACTGTCCTTTTCTCCTGCTG